TTCATAGCAAGCTGATTATTCATACAGAGTATTGAAAGCAAACAAGACTGGGAAAAAGAAATAAAGAAAAAACAGATATTGGTAATCAGTTATGTTTTTCACAAGGCTCTGCCCCCTTCTCCAGTCTGGAAAATGTTAACCAGTTCAGCTCGACTGCTTCAGTCCTCGGTGAATTATCTTGGCCCACAAAAAATCCACCCGTCTCGAGTGGACCTTGTGGTTTTCAGTAATGGTCAGCTGCTGACAGAGCCCAGCCTCAAACGGGTCACATCTGGATTACGGGCCTCAGCCTGAGATTCAGACAAGCTCCTTTATGGACAGAGCCACTTATGTTTTGTGCTTTTTAATTAATGATCTGCATCCCAACGTGACTAGATTCTTCCTTTCTGAGCTAATCTCTTGATTATCCTGGCACATGGTGTGTCCCCTGAGCCTGGCACAGTATCACATGGCAGGCCATGTGTTGTCAGAGTGGGTCACAGGAAGTTTCCGGGCTCCTGCGCACACACAGGCACATGACACCAACCTTGAGCAGTCACCTCTCTCACTTCACAAAGGTGGCACGCCAAAGTTTGCAAGCATCGATAGGGAACCTAACCAGCAACTGTATCTCCATGGTGACAGGACTCTTCCTCCTTTGCTGGCTCTCTCCCAGCATCCATCTGATTTGAGATAAACCCTCTAATCCCACACTGTCACGCAGCGCAGTCATCACTGTGAGAGAGAGGCACGCGGAGGGAGATGGGTATCTCCTAGTTCCTCAACTTCTACCAGCCTGCTGTTCTGCCCAGATCCCTCCTTTTGTGTGTCTCATCCAGGTCCACACTCCCTTGGCCATTCCGGGTTTCTCACTTCTAATATCTCGCCCACTTTCCCCTTCTTTTCTCTCAAACCCATCCTTGTGACCCAGACCACCTCCTTTTCTTGCTGCACCTAGACTCAAACCACAAGTGCACAAAACATCCTTCTTCCCAGATGCTCTTTCAGCCCACTCTTCCTTCCTCTCTCTTCGTCTCCCTTCTCTAACCTCTTCCGCCCCTCTAGCTCAGTGTTTCAGCTCTCAACCCACCCAGCTTGGCTCTCTCCCATTAGCTCAGCTCTAACCTCTGGCCCACACTGCCTCCCTCCAGCTGTGCTGTGTTGTGAAAGGCCGTGTGCTGCTTCCTCCTTGTTCAAAGCTGTGTGAATTTTTCCCAGCTGCTCCTCCACAGTGGAGGTGGGCTCCAGACCGCGGAGTGCATAGCTAGCATTCCGTGGACATGTGGCAGTCTCACTGTGGGATTTTGGCTGTATCGTGCACTGATGTGTTCCAGCACATCGTCCAGTCTGGTACTGTTAGCACTCCAGATCATGTCAGTAGGCTGGTCCATGTGCCTTTCCCTATGGAGTGGCTTGCTGGCATAGTGGGCTCCACAGTAATGGGAGTGGAAGTTATGGAACCTGAAAGCTGCTTTTGCCTCTCCATTATCTTTGACCATCCATTGTGCTGTAAGATGCAAATGGACCATATCCTTTCTTCTTCATTCTCTGCAAGCAGGACACACACACAAGCCAGATCCACCCATTGTGTTCAGTTAGGATACCGAACATTTTGTGTCCTGTTCTCCTGCAAGGTTTTGATGGGGAACAGTGTTTTAGCTGGCTTGTACGTGCGTTTGTATGTCCCTGTGTCACTACGTCACCTAGAGCGAGCTCGTCCTCTGGTCTT